AAGAGTTTACCACTCATTACGGACTTAAATATCACTACCAGAGGTGTGGCATTGAATTTAAATTCATGTGGAAATGCAAAATATGTGGCTTTGAAGCGATTAAAGGCAACAAAATTATTGTACACCATATTTGGAACAACCATAAGGTATTATATGTTTTATATTTATAATATAAATATTGATAATTTTAATATAAAATATGAAATATTTAATATAAAATATTTCTAAAATTATTTTATATTATGTTTAGTTTTTATAATTTTATTTTCCGTATTAATTTTAAATCAGGAATTGGTTCCAGAGTTGCCATTAGATCTCTTGGAGTTTGTATCAAGTCTTACACTCTCTAATATAAGCGCCAATACTAATGGACAGAAACAAGATGTCAAACGAATTGAGACCGGAAATTGTGCGCTTGAATTGTAATTAATTTTTACACACTATTGCTTACAAACAAACATTTGATTGAATTTTATTTTCATATGGAAAGTCATCAACGATTCTACAAACGAAAAGCGTTTCCAAAGTTAGTCCCAACTCTTCAGTCTTGGATTCCATTGACCGAAGAGTATGTGATATAAGAATTGAAACTATTTATTGATTAAAACATACGGTATATAACATTATTAATTAACATTACAGTGAATTGAGTGCCTATATGTCAAACCCGGAGCCGTCTCCTTATTTTAAATGCACGCTCAGCGCAGACACGTCTTGGAAGCGATTGAATCTATTTGACTCATTCTCATCGGAACAACACATCACATTCTTCGTGGGCGGACCCGTTTGGTCGAGCGCCTGGTGTCCCGTCTCACACAAAACCCACTCAAATGATCAGTATTTGGCGATCGCGTCGAACATGAATTGGGAGACAACACATACATTGAACGATACAGAGATCGAGAGCGGACTCATTCAGATCTGGAATGTCGGACAACTGGACAAAGTGTTTGACAAATCAATTGCGCCCCGACTGGCCTTCAGTATCGCTCACTGTTGCGGAATAGTTTGGGATATGGAGTGGTGTCCGGGCGGTACTGCTTTCGATGATATACTGTCCTATAAGAAGCCGAAAAACTCACAAACAATGGTTCGTTTGGGACTATTGGCCATCGCGTGCGGCGATGGCTTTGTGCGCATCCATAGTGTGCCATATCCTGAAGCGCTGAATAAGTCATACGATAATACAGTCTATTATAACGAACCGATTGTCATATTA